GACTAACTCAGAGCTTAATAGATATTGGGAAGATCGAAAATGTGAAAGTTTGGTTAGCAGGACATGATTGCACATTGGTTGGGCACCAATGATTGATACTTATGTGTTGGGTCGCCTTTTTTCGAGTGCGAGGTTATAGGCATCGTCGAATGCTCAATGTTCTTTTCTCTGGTATCAGTGGGATAAATCAGGGTCGGAAGGGTTTCTTTTAGTTTGGGTTCTTAATTGGAGTTGTATCGACAATGTTTCAAAATGGTTTTGTATGTCGGGAAGTTTGACAAGGTATTAGATTTTTGAATGTTGGGCAGAGTAGTGAAGGTTATTCTTCATTTGTTAAAGTTATTAGGGCAAGAATTTGTTCATCGTTGGGGTATATGAGTCCTGCTAAGATCGAGTTGTGATTGCAAGGTAGTCGTCTGTAGGAGTCTACTTCTTAGTTCTTCGGGATCCTGGAAGGATTGTCTGATTAGCCTGGGAAGTAGTAAGGACCAATTTTGAGGACAAAACTTAAATAAGTGGGGGAGAGTTGTAACACTCATGTTCCAGATTGTTTAAGCTTTCGTTTATCAAGGACCAAAGATGAAATTTTGGAAGAGACTCTATTCCATGACGTGGCTCCAGAATGTCACGGTGTAGCAATGATTAGAAGGATCGCGTACTTTGGACCACCACAGTGTAGCCAAGGAAGGTCACGGTGTGGCAGCTATTTTAGCTCAAGCCCATGACTCTTTTAGGGTTCCATTAGTATTTAAACAACTCTAATTCATTTTTAGGGTTCCTTATCAGCCTCCATCAACCTCAAGTTTCAGAAACCCTAACCCTAATTCCTCTTTGTGTGTTATGAGACCATTTTGGTGACTTTAGTTCCTTGTGAAGAAAAAAGAGGCATTAGAAAGGATTGTGGAGCTTCTTACATGAAGTGAAGATCTCTTTTGGGCATCTCTGGACCTTTGTAAGTCTCCAAGTTCCTTGCTTCATGGCTTAAAGTGGTTAGATCTTGAATATTGTCCCATGTTCTTCATGTTTGAGCAAGTTTGGAAAAAACGAACTCATAAAGTTGGAAACTTTATTACTCTCCTGAGTCCCAAGAGCATCAGATGCTGAAGATCTAGCCTTTGGTAGAAGTTCTTGTCATTTGCTTGAGTTTTGGTCTTTAGAGCTCATCTTGACCTAAAATGGGTTCTAGACATGTATTGGACATACATATCTATAAAGCTTCCACCTTTGTGATAAATCTAGGATTATAAACCCTTCTGGAGTGGTTGGGTTAAGGACTTTTTTAGATTTAAGGCTTAATGGTAAAGACATTACAAATTTTGCGTTTATTTGGACCTAGGGTTTGAGATCTTGAGCTATTTGGGTGTCTTAATGGATAATGTTTGAAACTTTATCCATTTAGACCATAGAATGGACTAGATCTAAGGTTTGGAGCTCTTAGAATCAAAGGAAACAGTTTAATCCATTAATATAATGGAACCTCAATGCCCACGACGTGGTCATAGGTTGCCTTGGCATGACGACTAGGAAATTCCCGTCTCGTTGATCATATGAGGGCCACAACGTGACCAAGAAAGGCCACGATGTGGCGGTTAACTAAAGTCAACGTTAGCTGTTGACTTTGAGCGTTGACTTTTGGTCAAATTTCTATTTTTAGAAGGTTAACATAGGGTTTGCCTTGAGTGTATTGATAGGAGGTGTTTAACATCCATCTTTTGGCAATGAGAGATGTTAGTTGTGGTCGACACGACATTGAGATGGGATTTAGCCGGCTTTTTGATTCAGGTGAGTCTCCTCACTATACATAGGGGTTGAAGGCACCAATTTTGGCCCACTGGATTGTGTTATATGTAGAATGCTAGTTGTCTTTTTAATACTTGCATGGAAAATCAGGAGGTGCCTCTTGGCACTTGTTTGTAAGAAACGGGTTTTGGCCCCCGGCTTGCCAAGGAAAGACCATGATACGACTTATGACATAATGACAATTGTAAGACTATGATTGGCACATAGCAATCTCTATTGTTGTATGGTATATGGTATTTTGAAGAACTCACTAAGCTTTGCGTTTACGATTTTACGTGTATATTTTCAAGTACTTCCAGTTCTAAAGAGAAGGGTCTAGCATGACTGGTTTAAAACAATAGGTCATCAAAATAAAAACTTTTTTACGACCTATTTTTTTTATAAATGAAAACTTTTTACTGTGAATTTTTATGATGTTATACAATGCTTATCTTCAAAGCTCGTGAGATTAAATTCTAACATTTAAATAAGCATTTTTGATTAATTTTATATTGTTTAATAAAAATCATTAATTTAATTTATTTGATGAAATTTACACTTAAAAATTAAACTTATAGCCTCAAACTATATGTGTATAACAAGATAATCTATAGGTAGGCATGTTCATTATTTGGATAAAATCGAATTGTCCAATTGGACCATTTGGATCAGACTATTTGGTTTGGATATTCGGATTTTTGGATTTGTTTTTTAGCAAACCTGAATTATTATTTTGAATTTCGGATTGATTTTGGTTTATAAATTAAAAACTAAATAGTCCAAACAAACTGAATAACAATGTATTATTTTGTTTTTTTAATATATAACTTTAATAATTTTTAAATTTACTAAATTATTTTTTATTAGATTAAATTTTTTCATCTATTATAATATTTTGATATGTAATTCTTATCAATATGTTTTTTGCCTATAAAATATTAAACTATGATCTATTATTCGTGGTAGTTATTTATAAATTTTAATTCACAACTAATAAAATAATTTTCTTTGGTTTCTATTATAAAGTGGATTAATATTAAAATTGTATATTTATTAAAATGTCTTGATTTTTGAAAGCCGAATTATAAAAACCAATTCAACCGAATTATTATTTGGTTGGATCAGTTTATATTTAAATTTAGTTTGGAGTATTTTAATCCACGTTTTGAAAATCGAAATAAATTTTGATTCACTTGATCGGATCAGATCAAACCGATCTATCCAAACGAACACCCTTATCCATGCCTACATATCAATCAATACCCATATAAATTACAAAAAGACTAGTAGACCCATAGTGAAACGTCTCTGGTCTGTCCACCGATGTCCTCATAAACTAATGATATTTATCGAATGCCTAATTGTGAACTCGTCTTCTTTTTACATGAGTGCGTATAAATTAGGACCCCTTGTTAGCCTGCTCTATAAGTCTATATGCCCGAGCTCTTTGTCCATTCTTCACTTTTGCAAGTCTATTACCTTTAACATGGTTTTATTCCAACAGCTTTTATAAATCATCGAATAATACTTTGTCATAAGATGAACATTAATCCCGCCAATGTAAATGTTACACTGTTACATTACATGAATGAATATTTGGAACACGTGACCGTCTTTGTAATAAGTGAATAGTCAACATTCTGCAAATTGTCCTCATATTTCGTCGAAGGGACGCAAGTTGTTAGTTGTCCGGACTTTGTAGAGGCTATTAATCACTAGATTTGTACATGTAATATATGCATTTAGTTTTAATTCATAAAGATGTCTTATCTTTTGATATAGCTCACAATTTACAGAAATGAGATTCTTGTAAACTATAGGAGCTATTATCTTGATAGTATTTTTAATAATCAATAAAGTCACTCAATACCTAACATAAGATGACACAATAGTGCAATTTATTTTATCCACTAATGGTGTTTGCCTTTAAAATTAATAAAACCAAAATAAAGTAAAATATGTCCACAAATTAATATTATGTATAAGAAAAGCAAAGGAGGCGAGAGGTTGATTCATCAACACCTGCACTTTCCAACCCACATGATCTTTGTCTAAGATATTCAAAAAGACCATACATGCATTCTTCTCAAAAGGGGGTCTCCTCTAATTGAATTTTGCCACATTTCACCCATTTTTTCACCCAACCATTGCCCCTCCTCCTATCAAGGACCCTACACCAAATGCCCTTCTCACCCACCCTCACTTAATCCATTCAACCAAGTTCTAACACTTGTCACATCATCATTCATCCACGTGTCTAAAACTAACCCTTAAGATCAAAGGGTCCCGGTTCGTGCCTACATGGATATTTTCAATCATGGACTAGCATTAGACACCCATGAGCCTCCAACACTTTCCACTCCATACCCAAAACCCTAAAATTATTGAACCAAATGGTGACAGGAGCAAAGCAAACCCTCAATCATACTTCCAAAAGGAAAAGTACAGAATGAGGTGCAATTATTCATCCCACATATTTCGTTCTCCAAACAACCCACAAATGAAAAGTAAAAAATAAAACTAAAATAAATCATTTGGCAATGACTAAAGAAAATGCACATATCTTGCTAATAAATCTTTAGCCCATATTTATTAAATTTTAAAAATGATTATGTTCTAGTTGTATAAAAAATAAAGGGTTTATCATGTCATGAACAATTGTTATATATATATATATATATATATATATATATATATATATATATATATATATATATATATATATATATATATATATATATATATATATATATATATATATATATATATGTTATTTATCTTTTTAGTTCAAAGATCTTAAAGATGACACAAAGATTTGGAATGAAATTTTCAACAAGCAAAAAGATCGACTTTCTAATGACATCAACAACTATATATCATCCATTTGATGCTGTTCAAAAAAATATCTGTTTGATATTGTACTTTTTGAACCAAAGAATTTCGTTTTGATAATTAGAAAGTAACTTTTTTTTTTTTTCATAAAAGAAAGGGAAAAAAAATATGAAGAAAAGAAGATAATTTAGAGGGGCCACTTAAAAAGTTAGTACCATATAATATTATCATCATTTGCGAACAAAAACAATTATATTTACATCCCCATTGTCCTCCCCAAAATAGCCTTCTCTTTCTTCTTCTTTTCTTCTTCTTCTTTCTTCTCTCTCTCTCTCTCTCTCTCTCTCTCTCTCTCTCCATGATAGAAGTATAGCTAAAGGAGGAGAGAGATGAAGAACACCATTAGATGTTGTATTTCATGCATTCTTCCCTGTGGAGCACTTGATGTGATTAGGATCGTTCACTCCAATGGGCATGTGGAGGAAATAAGTGGCACCATTCGAGCAGCTGAGATCATGAAACTACACCCGAAGCATGTACTCAAGAAACCCTCTTCTCCTTCCTACACCGATGAAGGAACAGTTAACTGTCCTCAGATCATCATTTTGCCACCAGATGCCGAGCTCAAGCGTGGAAAGATTTACTTTCTGATGCCGGTTCCTGCTTCTTCCTTGCCTGAAAAGACTCGTTCCAAGTCAACATCAACCACAAGAAAGAAAAAGAATCATGTTGTTAGCAGTAAGAATATTAATGCGAACAGCAATCAAGATAATAATTTATTAACAGACCTTCTTGTCTCTGATCGCTACTTGACTGAGATTCTATCGGAAAAGGTGAAGGATAGGAGGAGAGGCCGTGTTGGCGTGTGGAGACCTCATTTAGAGAGCATTTCTGAAGCTACAAGTGATGCGTGAATTAATGTGGTTTTTTTTTTTTTTTTTTTCATTTTCTTTTTCCTTTCAAATCTTCTTTAAAAAAAAAGTCGAATTCATTTTACATATTCGTATTCGTATGCCACTTAAATCCTGTTATTCTTGTTCTTTTCTTTTTTCTAGAAACCTTTGTATATACAAGAAGGGAAAAACTAGAAATAACATGTACTCTGATGCTCTCTTATGTTTTATTTATGGTTTAAATTTGTGAATATCTTCTAAACCTTTTGAACCTCCCCGATCAAAATAACAACAGTTTTCCAGGTACTAATAAATTCCAGGTACTAGATTTATTAGAATCGTATTAAATTCTAATAAATCTAGTATAACTTATATGTGTTAACTCCATAAACTTATACTCCAGCATAAGGAACTCCACAATACATTGAAGTTATGCATTGAATTTATTTTAGTTTAATAGATTTTTACATATCATTATTTTCATTTTATTTTTTGAAAGGGAGCTTCCCTAATGAGGGTTTCGGATCAGCTTCCGCGCAACGATTAATCCCCTGCAAAAATGAGGTTTTGTCTCATGCCCCTGTAGTCACTGCTGACGAACCTTCAAGGCCACAAGGGCTGAGTGGTATCAGGATTTGAAAATAGATCAATATGTTATCCACCATATCTTCCATATATCACCACAACACAAGCGGTTACATATCATTATTTTACTTTGTATATAACTCTATATTAATTAGTTTGCATACAACTTTATATTAGTTATCCTATGATATATTGAACTCATGAAATATAATTATAATTAAAAAGTTTCATTAAATGTCAATTATATATGATATCTCATTTAATTTTCACATTGAACACATTAAAATTTAAAATTATTGTTATATCAATATATAATTGTAAACATGATTTGAATTAGTATGACTTTTTTACATAAGATTTTTAATTATCTTTGTAAAAAAACTACCAAAGGGGTACGCTGCATAACGGTATATGATTATTGTTAAGGTGATCTTAGTAAATGTTTTTTACATTTTCTTATTTTTCTATTTCCTTTTGCAATCATGGTGTTTGTTATTTGGAAATTTGGTTAATCAATAATCAAATATATGTATAGGATTCCGAGTCTTTGGTCAAGTATAAAGAGGATAAATATTCTTCTTATATAAAATGGACATGACTTCCAACAAAATATGATATCACCAAGAGAGTACTTTAATCATGATTTTGTGTTTTCACTTGATAAACAAATGTTAGATGTACATTTTCGTATAACTATGATATTCGGTATGCGATTAAATAAATTCGTAACTAAACTTTAAATAAACTAAGGTTCTTAAGATAAGCAAGTTACTTTAAGGTTGATATGGAATGATAGTCCCCACTAAGCTTTTGGGTACAAGTGGGTATGCCCTAACACAAAGGAGTTGGTTCTCCATAGACATTGAAATGATGATTGATTGATTGATTATTTATATTATTTTGATGGCAATGGCATCCTAAATTTGGGGAACTTTACCTTTTTTCCATATTGTATCCACTGGCTTTGTCGATTAATCATTCCCATACACTTCAACTTTTATAATTTTCAAATTAACTCATTTAAGCACTCTATTGTAACAAGTAAACAAAGAAGTCTTTATCAACCATGTTCTGCTCAGTTCAAATTAACTCATGATATGATAAAATGTCATATTTACGTGTTTTTATCTATTGGTCTCACAATAAACATGGAAGATAAAAATTAACGTTAAGAAAAGAATACAGGGACTATAGAATTAAATGTAACATATCTCTTCCAGTAAAACAATATGCAATCGAGGATTATGGAGGTAAAATGTTATCGGACAAAGCTGATTGCACAAATTCTTTTTGGACTCGATCAATGTTCAATTCTTAGTTATCAGATCATTTGTACATCTACTTAAACACATCGAATATGGTATCACTATAAGGAATCAGGCAATAGGGGCGACAGATGTCACCAGCAAGAAGTCACTACAATTGCCTCGTCGTTGATGCTCAAAAACATCCCTATTTGGGTCGCCTTGGCGTCCTCGCTAATGCGAAACTTTCGCCATTAATAATATCGTCGATAATAGTATCATTGATAACTATTTATGCCAATGTAGAAATACTATTAATATATACAAAAAAAAAAAAAAAAAAAAAAAAAAAAAAAAAAATTGCATTTTTCATAAAATACTACAAAAATCTATAATACATGTTTTAAGTTGTTTGTTATATAAAAACGTCCGTAAAATAGTAACTAAAACATAAAACTATTCTTCATTATCACCGTCATCCTTGTTTGCTCATTCTCAATTTGGATGGTCAACAATAAAAACCATTTTTGATATTCTCGCTCCAAACATCGGGTTATTAATAATAACATCAACATCCGCCTACAAAATAAATATATAAGGTAAAACAACAAACTAAATTAACCAAAACTCATAACAAATGCATTAAGTTTTTAATAAATTAATGAAATACCAAATTATCAAATTCATAACAAAATGCATTAAGTCCTTAAAGTTAAGTCACAACTAAAACATATTAACAAAACATTAAGTAATGGGAAATAGAGTAATCTAGCTCATATAAATGAAAGTTTTTGAAAAAAATAAGCAATAATTTTTTATTTTGGAAAAATGACCATTATGTCTAGAATAGCGTTCCAGAATAATCAAATTTTTTTTGTTTGTGTTTATTTATGTTTTTTTTATAAAATGTATATATTGCAAAAAAGAACGGTTCTTCGTAATTTTTAAATCTGCCAAAACTAATAATTACATAAAGGTAAATATGTTTTAAATAACTACACAAATCAAACAACACTAATAATTTTTTAAATATATCAAAAATAATAACCAGTGCTTTATATGTTTTAAATAATACTGCATCTTTCAAACATAACACTATTTTTCTTGGTTCCTCAAATATTCCTGCTTATCACTTGTGATATGCGGTCGCTCAAGTTTTGATTGAACCATCTATCCTATATGATTTCCCTGCGATCAATATCTCAATAACCTAACACAAAAACACTCATAATCCCTTTTACTTGCAGACTGTTGTGGTATGTCTGCATCATTTTCAAGAATGATTTTGAAACTTTCTAGAGTATGTAAATTAGTTATTTGGTACCCCAGTTATTTGGTACCCCAATAACTGATACCCATTAGGAGTTTGTGGATACGGACTCGCATAGATGTAATCCAATATGTATTTTCTAAAAAATAACCATCCACCCAGTGACTATCGTATATAGTCATTTTGAATATCTTCAAATCCAAAACACCAAAAAAAAAACCAGTGAGCACTCATTATATTGATAGGGATGCAAATCTGCACAAAAAATTAGAATTAAATAATCATAAAATAACATTTTATTATAAATGACTTTTACATTGGTAATGTAATCGAAATACAATATACGACATCAAATTCAAAACAAACTTGGTAATGGATTCATCAACCATGTGACTCCAGTCATAAGAATCTGTGTTGAAAGCTGACGGCATGAATGTCCACCAAACATCATCAGGTATATGCTCTATCAACAATGAGATTCACATCAAGATGTGCTACCAATCAACACATGTGTACAATAAAGCAACTTATGTTATTAGAAGTGTACTATGCAATGCTCACAAATTATATAACTTACATCACATTCCAACCAAATCGCATCATTATCCCCATATAAGCGTGTCCAAAACTCAATCTCTAGTATAGCAGTGACATAAGGGTACGAAAACAACAACGAACCATCTCGTTCTTTATATAAAATGTGAATGGTGGAGTCTAAAAGAATGTACAACGGTGCTGGTTGTTGGTGTGAAACACATTTCTTCTTCATCTGTATCCATGGGGACTTATGTAGATGGCAAAATTAGTTGTGAGGTGTCGAATTTTAGTGTATAGTTTCGTTAGTTTGCAATGTTATTACAAGGGCACTTATGTTACGAAGTATAGTGTTCCAGTCCCTTGTATTTTTTGTATGCTTTTGTTTTCTTATAAATAGGGATTGATATTAGAGTTGGATAGAACTTTTGCAACATTTCTATCTAAGAACACTTTGTATCACGAAAGCATAATATGAGTTGAAACCATATTCTATTTACTCTCTGTGTTCTTGAATTTTTTCTACTCTGATTTCATTTTATTTCTCGATTAAAACAATTAGTATCAGAGTAGGAATCATACTGCAATGATCTGATTTTCATTTAATATTAAAAGTAGTTTGAATCTCATTTTGGATTCAAAAGTTTCCGCACTTTTTGGTTTTGAAAATCATCCTATATCTTCAGTTGTGATTTGATTCCGCAACTAGTTTGTTTAATCAAGTGTCCGGTTTGCTGTTTCTATTCAATTCATCCATTAGTTCTAAATTTTTTGAAGTTTTTCTGAAAACTCGTCCGCATAAAAATTGCTAATTTCAACATGAACACAATGACCTCTTTTTCTCATCTGCTATGATCTTCAACAAAGATTCATATGCTCATTCCTGAGTATTATGATCAGTGGGCTGATCGCATGGAAGATTACTTGAATGGACCCCGATGAGGAGCTATGGAAGTGCATTAATGGAGATGTTCTTCTTCCATTGAATGTTCAAAGTATTGGATCCTCTGCTTCAACTCCAAGTGTTAATGATCAAACTGAAGGCTTAGGAAGAATCAAAAGAGATGCATGAGAGAGTTTGTGGTGCTCTTCCCCCGGTTGTATCTAACTACGTTCGTAGTTGTAAATCTGCAAGAGAGATCTGGAATACTCTTAAGGAGAAGTTTCAAGGGAGTGAAAAGACAAAGATTAACTCTGTGAAGCAATGTCTGGTGGAATTGAAAGAGTTCAAACAAAAGGAAAGTAAATTTATTGAACTCTATTACGATCATTTGAATGAACTCATTTACAAATGCAATCGTAATGGAATAACTAAGACAATCATGGAGTTTAATCTAACTTTTATTATGGGATTACGAAAAGAATGGCAAAATGCAAGTCTAACAGTGAACACGCAACAAAGCTTCGATACTTCTACTTTGAATGATCTTTAGAATTTGCTGAAAACTCATGAGCCAGAAGTTATTGAAATAGAAGAAGAATCAAAGATAAGCTTGGGAGGTCCATTGCTTTTTACTCAAATAACAAAGTGAACAAATTTTATAAAAATCCTTTTGGTTCGAAAGTAAGGACTAGTGAAGCGAAAGTACATTTTTCAGGAAAAGTGAATGAGGAGAAGAAGTTTGAGAAGTAAGAATCAAAGTCTAAAGAAGCTCAAAGGTGACTCAGGTGTCGACTGCCACTATTGTCATGGCGCAAATCACATGGCAAGTGGTTGTATGCTTCGAAAGAAAGAAGAGAAGAAAAATAAGATCAAAGACGAAGCTTATTATGTCGAATGGCTGGAAGAGGTGCGAGCAAAAGCTATGGGGTTATCTTTGGTGACAAGAGGAGAAGATGATGATGATGATGGAAAGTATCAATTTTGGTCCTCAGGCTCTGATGATGAGGAAATGTGTAATCCTACACATGGAGCAATGTATGGTCAATTTGACGAGGAAGAGGAAGGGAACATGACTGGTCGTTGTTTTGTGACAACAAAAGGTGACAAATCACCAATGACCACGAAGGTACATTCTATACTTCAATCTTTTAATATTCTTTTGAATGCTTACGATTCTAAATTAACTGCTTTTGATGATACTGTTGCTTATTATGATAATTTGGTTATCTCTGCTAGCAATGATGCTAAGAAATCTAGTACACAATTACTAGA